AAGGCCACATGGCTCCTTCCATTAAACGTCCGACGAATTTATCAAATCCACGCCATTACGCCGCACAGTGGTCCAAATAGCTGATTTAGCTGGCCAAAAGTCAGTAAAATTTTATCTAAGCGAAAAAATTTTTATCACACGATATAGTTAAATATGTGAGGAACAATGCCCTGACTTTTTTTTTTTATTATTCGTGCACCCATGATGTGTTATGCTTTGCCAAAGTTTAGTAATTTTTGTGGTACGCGCCAGGCCTTTAAAATTTCCTGAAACACTTTTTGTTTTATAGAAGATGCGTCCTTTTGTTTTCATTATGAAAGTTTTTCTGGTAAGTATATTCTATATTCTAAAAGGTCTGTACAGTTTTATTATGTATCTTTTGGTGGTTGTTGATATTTATACGTGTTTAATGCATGAATACTATTTTTTATGAATGCATGAATTCAATAGTGATTTTGTTATACATCCCGATGAGTCCCGATCTACTTTCAGGTCCAATATATTCTGTGAAGCTTTACGTTTACAATGCAACAAAAATTTTTTGCACAAACCTGCGCCATTTGTTGCTAGAGCATTTTCTATCGCGACGCGACCTGCCGAGTATACGTCTTCCATTGCGTTGAAGACAAAGTTTCAGTAGAAAGGCGAAGGAGAATTTAACTGACGGAAAAAAGAGTCAGTTCAGAATTGCAAGCAAAACGGGAAGTATTCTGAAATTTAGCCACTTTTCGCACAATATACATCTTATTTACTTTTAGCATATACATGGTGTCCCGTAACTCCTCGAACACCCGGAAATGGGGGGTTGCTGGGGTGACTCTGAACAACTTTTTCCTTTACCAAAATGTTGTTTGAAGCTTCGTTTTTGAATTATTAACGAAAAACACTGGCCAATCACAGCGTGCGTAGAGCCCGCGCTCAGGGACGAAGAACAGAGGCTGACGCGCGCGCGATCGAACAAATGCGTACGCGAGACTTCTCGGTTGTCGATCGCTGAATATTGTTTCGTTGGTTGCGAGTCCATATTTTGAATTGTTTCAATGTGATGATATTGTAAAATTTTCGGAGAGATTTCATTAATATCAAGACTACGCGCGCTCTGATTGGCCAGTGTTTTTCGTTAATAACTCGAAAACGAAGCTTCAAACTACATTTTGGATAAGGAAAAAGTTGTTCAGGGTCACCCCAGCAACCCCCCATTCCCGGGTGTTCGAGGAGTTACGGGACACCCTGTATTATTTTGGTCCATAATTTCGTGCGGTTTTCATTTCGTATAAAATGAAATTCATAACATTATTATTATTATTCTGTATTATGCATCATATTATTATACACTACGTAATATAGTTTCTTATATATCAATGTACAACTTTTGCATAAATAAAAGCAATTATATTTAAATAATATTGTACATATAATTAATTATTATTGTACATTATTATATTAAATTATCATATTTTATCGAAAAAAGTCGATATGAAGGAGTTTTTAATTTTAGCTAGCTAAATCGACCATTTGGAAACACTGTGCGCCGGCCAGCGAATCGAGAGTTCATCCTACGCTCTCGAGACCCGTTCGAGTTGGTATTCTATCGGGCTGGCGAAGTTTTGCCGCCGACATTTCGATACTTGTTTTACGAGTGCAAGTATCACTGTAAACAATCGAACATTAACATCGACAGGATATTATATATTGTTGTTCTAAGGAGCGTGGAATGAAATTTTCCCAACATTAGAATAAGAATTTTCAAAGGGGAACATCCCGGAGTGGTAATCACCGATTTTGATGAAAATTTGGTATGATAGATCTCGAAAAAATATTCGGCACGCTTGTTTTTATCGGCAATCGTCCACATTGAAGGGGAGAACATCGCTCTCAAAGTCGGAGATAGTAAAAACATTTAGTTTTTTAGCACAAAACAAGGGGTGGTGTAAATTGACGAAATTTTTAGATAACTTCTTCGTTACTTTTTCTGGTAAAATATTTATCAATTTTTCTCGTAAATTTGTGTATACTGAATAAAATACTGAATGTAAGAATTTTTAATTTTGTAATTTCAATTCTGTAATAATATTTATTAAATCTTAGTAGACCGTAATTAGAAAAATGCTATACATATGCAACTAGGAAAAGTGTCTCAGAATGTTTACTCACGAACGATTTTTAGATTTCGTGCTTGTTCATCGTAGAGAAATATCTTATAAAGTACATGCAAGGTGGCTCAGAAGTAGAAGGAGGGTTAAGAACACGTGTCTAGCCCTCGTTCCTAAGATATTGTACATAAAAGGAGGAACAAGGGATGGGATGAAATTTTGCGCGAATGAGAACCGGTGTGATAAACAACCGGGGATTTTCTTTCTCGTATAAGTCAACACTGGCGTCCCTCCACCACTTATTAAACCCGTTTCCAGTTTCACCTCAACCGTACATCGGCTATTAATAAAGAAATTAACCAACATGTAAATTCGTGCAAATACCTCTCTTCACATCTGCGATCGTTTCTCCGTTGGAAAAAGTAGCGACCAATTTCCTGACACGCCATAAAACACCGGTTCGCGGTTGTACAAATCCCGCGTCGTTTCCTCCAAGTGTACAGAGTGGATCCCAGGAAAAATATCCGCGAATTTTACCAACACCTCGTATATATCTTCTGGACAAATATGACGAAGGGATATTTGCACGGCTCGCGCGATAAAGGGCCCTCTAAACGTCACCGATTCACTTGTACCCCATTGTTTCAACGGCAATACACATTTTATGAGACAATATTCTCGCGTGCGCAGCCGGAACGATATTTCAATCGAGTATCGCCCTAGCACACCGTGCTCGATTCCATCGATCGATCGTTGCGTAATAAAAAAACACACACACACGCACACGCGAGTACGCACACTCTCACACGTAGGTGCAGTCGTCGAGTGTTCGATTGAAAAAGAGAAACACGCGCAGAATCGCATTAGCCATGTGCACCAGGAGAGTGTTGCGTGTAAAAACGTGATCGTTGCAAAATTAATACAGGGGAACAATATTCAGTGATTACGCGCCTCTCTTCCAATACCGCGTGAAATTGCAGCTTCGCTAAAAATTGCCCAGCAACTCTCTTTCGTCGGCCATACAAACAGCACAATTTTGTTTGTTTTTTCCCCACCAAACGATGCTTTAACCCACTCCGTATAGCCGCGCCGCGCCTGGGGGAGAAACAATAAGGCTTTCAACCGCGTAACCAACAAAATTAACGTCGAAGAAAATTAGTCCGCGTCGAGTTTCCTTCTTTTCAGCGAGTGTCGACACTGTTGTCCAATTGGTCGGGGGGAATTGGTAGCGCGCGTAATCAAAGAAAAGACAGGACAAGATAGCCCAGAGAAGAGTGGGAGGGGTGGTGAAATAAAGTTTTCTTTAGTGGTCGGCAAGGAAATCGCATTACTCTGCTTGAAACTTCGGGAATCAATTTGATTCGCGGCATAAGAATGGTTTAGGGCAGGGGTGCGGTGGAGAGCGACGAAGTAGCTGGCCGTTTTCACGTCGTACCAACCCTCTTCTGCCTCTACCACCACACTCACCCCACATCCTGCCCGCCGTCCTTTAGCACAGACAGCTCCCAGCCCACAGCAACGCTCTGTGACTTATAGACTTTGTTTTACTTAATAATAAAGTTCCGGCGGATAAAGGTAAAGTTGCAAGATAAATGGTACGCCAGCCGCGTACTGAAAAATGATAACCGGAGACTCACCGCGACACTTCTGCTCGGGAAACACTTTCAGCCTTCGGTTTATACGCCGGAGAAGTATGAAAATCGTTTACATCGAGCCCTGTGCACGTACGTAGAGACCGAGTGTGCAAAAGGTTCGAAAGGTTTGATAGAAAGAAAAATTGAAAAGTGTCTCGGGGAACGTAGGATTGAATCATCGGGATAGGTCATCCAGAAAATTTTCGTGGTTTTAATTTGAAAACATCATTACATTGAAATTAAACAGTTTTATTTGAAATAATTTCCAGAATGTTCGATACACTTTTGCCAACGTATTGCAAAATTTTACGTATATGAAAATTCGAGTCTCTAAGAGAAAGATGCTGCTGAAAGACGTTTTCAACAACCTTCTGCTTCCTAAATCGTCTTTTTGCGAGGAAATTTTAAGTGAGCGAAAAAAGTGAAACTCGTTTGGAGATAAATCAGGGGAATATGGGGGATGAGGTAGAATTTCAATATAGAATATTTTTATATACGGGGCATCAATGCTCTTGTCTTACGTTGGTAAAAGTGTATCGAACATTATGGAAATTATTTGAAAGCAAAAATGTTCAATTTCAGGGAACTTGCAGGATGACGTATAATAGTATTGTCTAGCTGAAAAAGTTATCGAAGAAAACAGGTAGTCTTTTCATTCACGAATAACTTTACTCCATAAAACGTATAAAAAAACTTTGTCTACTGTAAATCATATTTGTCAAACGTTATAAACATTAGAAATCTTACGTCTAAGTCATAAAAAGGTCCTTTTAAAAGGCTATGTAAAACGTTAAAACGTACTCTCTTAAAATTACAGAAACGCATCAGCTTAGCAGTATCGAATGGACCCGTTTAGAATAATATTTACACTGGGCGTCCGCTCTGTCGTCACGGAAATTAATGAAACACCCCGGGTCATACTTTCATTATCCTCCCTCTGTCTTTCCACTCGACTGACGCCACTTCACATTGCTCAGCCTGACCACAATTCAAGGGATTTCAACGTCAAATGACATCAGTCCGCTGTTGCTGTCTTAATTTCAGGGTATCATACATTCTGTAACTCGAACGACCCTAGGTAATCCCTAAATCGACCCACGATTATTCTTCCTTTTCCCTTCTTGATCACACACAGTTAGAGAAAAAGGTACTTTCACATCTCTCTTTTAACCATCACCAGAGAATTACAATTCAAAGTATATCGTCCGGTTGTTCGTTCCAGAGACGAAAAACTTTCTCGCTGAAAGTCTCTAACTAAACTTCACTACTCTTCCTACTTCCTGTTCACAGGTTTCTTCTTGATCGTACCAGTGCTAGTATCAGCGTTGGAACACTTCTCGCTCTCCTTCCGCTGCAACGTCGGAATGCTCGACTTCCCGTCTCCAGTCACGGACACGTTCGCCCCTTTGCCAGTAGCTACCGCTTCTACCCTTTGCACGATCTCAGTCTTTTCAGGGTAAGCGGGCCTCTCAATTCCACCTGAAGGCTCCTCTTTGCGCCTCGAGAACGAAGGGATCCTCGTGACCTTAGGCTTTTCCTTTAGAGGCGGCTTCTCTCTATCAATAGTTGGGCAGACCTGCTCCGGAGGAGGAATGGCCGATACTTTAGGGATGTTCCTGTGATCCCTAGACCTTTGTAGACTGGACGTAGGTTTAATGATGATTTTAGGTTGCTTCATATTCGACGAAGGGCCTTTGGTATCTCTAGGAGTGATTATTATTCTCGGTTCCTTTCTTTCGTGACTGATGCTTGCTAACCTGGAGTCTGGAGAAGAGGGTGAAGTTAACGTATCCGATTGTAAATGCTCTACCGAACAGGCTGTGGATCGGGTAGAAGGATTAGAGTCGCCTGTAGTTCCGAATCGAACTTCTCGATTCATTTTATCGTTAGAGGTAGTCCCTGTCAGGTTCGTTACAGTTTGACTTAGACATTGGTTGGCTTGTCCAAGAAGATTCCCTACTCTAGGTGTTATGACGATCCTAGGTTCGATTCCAGGGATCCTATTTTCCCAGTTGGAGCCTCCAAACGGAGGTTGCCAGTCCATTTCTCTACCGATAATCCTAGGTTCCGATGATGCTGTCAATGTGTAAGCTTCGTTCCCAGTTGGAGATGATTTGTACCAATTAGGATTGCCTATCCCAGTATCCAATAGAGCTGTTGGGTTACCAATGATCTTGTCCACACTCTGGGAGATCGGTTGAACAATTTCGTGAACAGGACAGACGGGATTCGAGTAAATGGTGTCGACACTGCCTCCAGCTGGAGCTCTAGTCCTGTCTATCCTTTCGTCCAAGGAATCAATGATACTAGGGTCTGAATTATTCTTCGTAGAATAGTCCTGTTTCCTGAGCAACGGTCCAACATGAAGGTTAGTAGTGACGGGTTCGGCTTCGAACTGGTTCTCGCTCTCCTCCGCGAATTCCAAACTCTTCGAGGGGCCAAACATCCTAGGAGGTGGTTGAGGGGGCTGATGGGTAGACGAGGATGAATGCAGCCCGGATCTATAGTCCTTCAAGGAATTACTATGCTGCTTGGGTGCAAACAAGCTGCTCGGCGCGGGCAAGGATCGTCTTTTCTCGATGTCCGGCAAAACTTTCGGGTAGTTCCTGCGCTTGATCGTTCTGAGCGCCTCCTCTGGGCTAATACACTCCCTCTCTATCGTTGGTTCTCTGCAGGTTACGTTTATATCCGTCGGCGGACTATTCACGCCGAACGTGGTCAGCTTTGGTCCCATCTTCATGTAAATATCCTCCGTCTGATCCACCACCGATCCATCAGCATTAATTCCAAGCTCAGCTCGTGGTAGACGGGACTTCAGTTTCGGGTTAATCTTCGCGTACAGGCTGCTGGTGCTCCCGGAATCCGACTCGTAAATCCTCGGCGTGGAGAAGTTCGGTTTCACGCTCTTCAGCACGTTCTCCATGGGCAACGGGTCGCTCTTCGAGTGATGGTGCTCGATGACGACCACCTGAGGAGCCGTCTGCAGCTGGCTGGGATCGATCATGGGGTAGTCGATGCACTTGTCGAACGAGTCGTTCGCCTCCACGCTTTTTACCAGCTCTATAGGCACCTGATTTAGAATCGATTCGGTTCTGGTTGCCGGTGTCGCGTCCACGGCCACGGAAACCTTCGGGACCTTTGACTTCTTGCCAGGACGCACCACCAGTGATGGATTCTCGGCGTAAATAGGCTCCTCTTTCCTGTCTTTCAACAGCTCCTCTTCCATCCTCTTCTTTTCATCTTCCTGCTGCTTTGTTAGTTTATCTTGGTGCTCCTTCTGCAAGGTTTCTCGTGTCTTCCTGAGAAACCTAGGCGAACACCTTACAGAAAAGAAAGAGGTACATATGTTTATTAAAGGGGGATGCTGATTTGGAGAAACTGTGAACTATTCGCTGATAGATTGTCCGGATATTGGAAAATGTTGGAACTTTTCGATGGAACAACTTCGAAAATGTTAGAGACAGATCGATTAGTGCTAGGGAAGCAAAACTGCCAGCTAAGTAAATTCCCTTTGCACGGGATCCTTGGGACGAAAACAGCCGATTCCGATGAATCAGCTCGCGTCTGAAAGACTGAACGTCTTTAAGTGAAACCGCTGATTGGATCAGCGGACGAATTTCCAAGGAGTGCCTCCTCGAGTCCGCGCAATTAACGAATCAATTCAATCCTCCACCTACCTGTGCACGATCTCCTGTTGTATCCACTCTCTAACCTTGATGTGTGTGTCAATGGTGGAGCCAGAATTCTGTCTAGACAGCTTCGACCTTCTTCCAAAGTTCGAATTATTGTCGTAAGCCTTGTCGTTCTTTATCACATCGTTTAAATCCGGTTTGCTGTCGCTCTTGTACCCAAGTTCCCCATAGTTGTTCTCGTACTTCTCAGATTTCGCTCGTCTCGATTCATCCTTCTGACTGACGCGTCTTTTCAATCCTGTCCCCGTTGTCTTGGCGTCTTGCTTCTTGCAATACAGATAGACAAACGCTGTGAAATTGATCAGCAGAAATACTACCCCGAAACCAGTCAGCATAGTGATGACAGAGGAACTTTTAGGTGTGCTTGGCTGAGGAATCACTTCTTCGTCGGATCGAGAGGTCGTGGAGTCTGGTGTCGTAGATCCTATATCAGGTACAGTGGTCTCCGACTGATGATTATCTCCTCTGAATCTGAAAGATGAAGATCGCGATAGATAGCGAATACCGAGGCGATTTTTATTGCAACAGCGGGAATATGTATGAGTTTTGAAACCTACGGAAACTGCAGGTGTGTGCATGGAAGCTTGCAGACAAGGGGATGGGAAACTTGTATCGTTCCAAGAGCGCACGCGAGTTTAGATTGAACTTGGCTCGGTAGTTTCTCAGATTTGTACGGCCTTGTATGGATATTCATGGCTGGGATTGCGAGTAATTCGATAAGGTGTTGGAATTTAAGCAGTTGCTTGTAACACAGTGGGATTAAATCGCGGGGCTGGTTTATTCGGCTGCTTTTTAGGGTGTTAATGCGCCATTAAACCGAGTGAACGCAACGCGAAACAGGCGAATCTTTCGCCTCATTGTGCTACTCATTTTGAATAAATTCCATTGAAACGGCGCTGTACAGACAATTTAAGTTTTCGGGACAAGTAAAGAGCACGGGATGCAATGGAGTGCATGTGACGTTTCATTAAAAGTTCATCACGCGGCGGAAAAACAGTACCAGGCGCGTATATAAACGGGACACGAAAATGGGTATATTTAATTTTCCAATTAACGCAAGCGCAAAATTTTTCACAAATTATAATAGGCGTTCTTCTGTTGGCGCGGGCGTGTGTTTCAGCCAGATGAAATATAAAGCTACGAACGATTGCCCGGCAATTTTTACTGCTGGCTAATTAAACGAAATCATTCGACGCAATCGCCCCTTTCCCTATTTCTGTTCATCAACGTTAAAACTCGAAAGACATCCTTTTTTTCTTTTATACAAAACCTCCGAATAAAAATTTCGACGGATTATCGTTATGATTCGCCACCAACCTGATACCATAGTCATAGTCTCTGCTGGCATTCGCGTATTTTCCAATTCCATCCGCGATGTCGAGTATTTGAGGCCGTCGTCCTCTTGGTCGAAGTGGAAGCGGAATGTCTTTGCCCGGATGACGAAGCAGATTAGGCAGGTGCTCGTTCCAGAATTGCATTTCTGCAAATCGGTACTGCGTGCCCGTACTCGGAGGTATCGCTGTGATAATTCATCATCCGCACGTTCGTTTAATCGTGATCAGCGTAATTAATGAGGTATACTAACTGGAGAGACTTACTTAGGTTCAGATAGGTCTGATTCTGGGGATCGTACTCGGGCCAGTCGATATTGTACTGGTCCCACTCCTTCAATCCATCCGTCAGGTAGGGATATCGCTTTGCGATGTTTGGATTCCTGATTTTGTGAATAATAAACAATTGTAGACATCCATGGAGTAACGTAATTTAACAATAATCGAGGAACATAAACGAAGTACCTAAATACACTTCTTAACCATGCTCGGGTTAAGGGTGCTCGGTAACTGGTGGTACAATCGAGCCGAGGGTGATTCTATGCGAGAAACTGAATCGACAATGTAGAATAAAGTTTTTCATAAAAAGCTTTGTTTCCGAGAAAAATAAGTTTGAATATTTGTCGAGTACGCGTGCTCTCGGCTTTACGTTTGTACTAGTAAACGATACTAATTTCATGATAAAGTATCGACAAAGTATATTAAACTTACATTGCTAATCGAATTATTGAAAGTAACGTCTGTTAACGCATGCAAATCTGTGCTCTTTAAATCGGAGAGTCATGGACCCATGATACGATATTTTGACATTTCAATTCTGCGAAAGCCTGTACTATTCTTTCTTTTAGCTGCAGATTTACACTATCCTCTGCGTAGACTATTTCTTTGCGAAATGTGACATTACCACTGTTTATCAACGTAAAAGTATGAACAGAAGTAACAGTTTGTAGCGAATATTTAAATTCAATTTTCTCGGAAACAAAGCCTCGTATGAAAAAATTTTATTCCACATTTTCGATTCAGTTTTTCACGTAGAATCACCCGTTGCTCGTTTGTACGCCCTGTATACATGTAGCTATTTATAATTTTCGAGAATAAAAGTAATCGGAGAGTAGACTAAAATTAAACGAAAATTAATTACTGTATAATAACAGTTATCTTGATATCTTAGAATCCAATGTTCTACACCTTCACGCATACAAAGACACCTTACTCATACACTAAACTTCTAAGTACAGCATTCTCTCCAAATTTACAGCGCCATCAGAAGTACAATTCAGCGCGTAATAAAACAAGGAAGGGGTTAGAGAGGTTCACCATTGTCGGGCACTTCAATCAACCTGGATCACAACGATCTAGCCAGTCGTTTTTGGCGCTAAATCGGAATCGAATTCCGGAATGAAAACCGAATTGCGATTTCGCCCCTGCTTTCAATAAACTCCCCCGGCGAAGAACCGCTCCGTACGGTACCTTCAGGTGCTCGTGCAGCGGTGGGCGCAAAATGATATCGTATATCCCCGCTCAAATATCGGAAAACCAGTCCGATATCGAAATTTTGATACACGGTAACTCTACTCTGTTTCCTGTTCCGCGAAACTCGCACGTTCGAAGGAACTTCTGCCTGGAACAAGTATCTCAAAGAGAGAGGAAGGGAGAAAGCCATTCACCGGCCTGGCGAACACCAGGATTCCCGGCCCTTCCTTCCCGCTGAACGGGGAAAGACTACGTGCAGTAATTTCACTGCTCACGAGCGGGCTTTCCCTTTGATTCTACGAGTTCCGCGCGGGCGTAAAATTCACCGATCGCGACGGAAACTGACGTCGGAACGTGGAA